TGCCACTGGGAACCACAGCTCTGTCTTCCCCCACCATACAAATTCTGACCTGACTCGGAGCCCAGCGGCCTCAGGAGGGGGCAGGGGCCCAGAGAAAGGGGCAGGCACGTGTCCTTCAGACTGCAGAAGCAGGAGCGATGCCCAGCGGTGGGAGGTGGGAGGATGCCCACCAGCTGGGGAGAAGGGCCTGCATGGGGCTGGCCCCAGAAAGAGAGAGGCCGCCTGTGCAGATCTATTAGATCTATCAGGTGTGTGACATTTGGATGTTTAGCCTGCAGAGGGCTGCAAAGGTTCTTCCCACCCACCCTCTGCCATCCCCATGCTCACCTGCCTCAAGGTGGTCTGCGTGGCACTCCAGAAGGCGTGGGCCATGCCAGGAACATCTTTGGCGCTAGTCTCAAAATAGTGGGCTCACCACATGTCAGCCTCCTGGGGACAGGCCTGCTCAGGGAAAGGAGTGGCACCAGTTCACCTTGGGATTGGCCAAGGCCCCGTCCACTATCCCAGGGCCAGGGGCATGCCCATAGGAAGCTTAGAACCCTCCACATACCAAGGCTTGTCCTGGGCTAGGACAGAGTGCAAGGTAGGCAGGGGCGAGGTTGGAAGTGAACTGATAGGTAGGGCTGGTCAACAAACCCAGCTGGGCCCATAGCAAGAACCTCCCTAAGCTTGAGCTAAGATGGAGGTCGGAGGTGACACAGATAAGCCACAATGTACAGGCATTCCTTATTTTATTGCACTTCGCTTTATTGCACTTCACAGATGTGTGTCTTTTACAAATCGAAGACAAGATACTCCACCAGCAAGAAGATCACAACTCACTTTATTGTGGTTTCCTGGACCTGAACCTGCAGCATCTCTGAGTATGCCTGTACACCTACCCACTGGCCAGGGTCTTATTCCCAAGCCTGGCAAAGGGGAATCGTTTCGGGTTGGCAAGGTCAGCTCACAGTAGGAACTCTGCCTGCCAAGAGGCCAGAGCCTGGAAGGAGGCAGCCACTGTGACATCAAAGACCGACACCCAGTGGCGGAACCACAGTCCAGCGCCATGCCCAGGAACCGGAACCTCTCTGTGCCAGCTGTGCCCCAGAGCTGGACCGGTGAGGCAGACAGGCCTGCTTACACTCCTGAGCTGCAATCCATCCTTCTGAAAGAAGGGGCGACCGACCCAGAAGTCCAAGCTCCCCCAAGCCAG